TGTGTGTGTGTGTGTGTGTCCAGCTCAGCCCACCAGGGGGCGGGGCTGACTGGCTTGTGGTGCTGGGGGATTGAACCGCGGTCCCTGTGGCTTTAGCCAAGCTTGTTCTAAGTAGGTGCTTTAAACCACTGAGCCATCTCACCAGCCCTGGGCCCAGTCTTGAGAAGTTTCTTTTTCGGTACTGAGTAGGGAATTGAACTCAGGACCTTGAACTTGCCAGGCAGGCACTTGTGCTGCTGAGCTATATAACTGGCCCTGAGAAGTTTCTAAATTGCTCAGTGTAGGCTCAAATTTGCAATCCTCTTGCTTAACCCTATTAGAGTGCTGAGATCACAAGTGTATACCAGCAGCCCCTGTGTAGTCTTAGACATTAGAAGTGTCATCACTGGGATAAAGACTATGCCCAACTGCCCTACAATTTATTTGTTTTTTGGTGGAACCGGGGATTGAACTCAGGCCCTTGTGCTTGCTAGGCAAGTGCTTATTCTACTGAGCCATCTCCCTGGCCCCTGCCCTACAATTTATATAGTATTTCCAGTAATTATTAGAGTGTGCATTTCTCTGTATTCTCACCATTACTTGGTTGCTTGATTTTATTTTTATTTTTATTGTTTGTATTTATTTATTTATTTATTTAGGCAGAACTGGGGATTGAACTCAGGCTCTTGCGTTTGCCAGGAAAGCACTTATTCCACTTGAGCCATCTCCCTGGCCCCAAGGATCCTTCTGAGTTCAAGAACTTTATTTTTTTTGGTGGAACCAGGGATTGAACTCAGGCCCTTGCACCTGCCAGGTAAGCGCTTACTCTACTGAGCCATCTCCCTGGCGCCTGGTTGTTTGACTTTAATAATTTTGGCAGTTTAGGAGTACATAATTCAAAGATTAAAATTACCCTGAGCTATATCCACAGGATTATGCCCTCCATTTTTACATTTTTATTTTGAGACCAGATTTTTGATTTTTTTTTTTTTTTTTTTTTCGGAACCAGAGATTGAACTCAGGCCCTTGTGCTTGCCAGGGAAGCACTTAATCCACTGAGCCATTTCCCCGGCCCCTATTGAGACCAGATTTTAGTAAATCAGTAAGTAGCCCAGGCTGGGCTAACATTTGCTCCTCCATCCTCATAATCCCAGAGTGCTGCATTATAGCTGGACCATCACACTTGCTTCAGAGTATTATTTAATGTTCTCCAAGAGTATTTGGACTTTAGATGCTTTTAAACAATGACCATAGTCTTAGTTGGATTGTTAGCCGAGCAAGTGTTTTGTTTTCTCTCTCCCAGGGCAACACTCACGTAAAATCATCTTTTGTGGTTTTATTTGTTTGTGGTTGGTTTTGTCTTTTTTTTTTTTATGTATTTGCTACAGGGTCTCTGTATTAGTTACTCTTCTCTCATTGCTGGGACAAATACCCTACACTCAAAATGAAAGAAGGAAAGGTTTATTTATCTCACAGTTACTGGAGGTTTCAGTCTTTTTTTTTTTTTTTTTTGCAGGACCAGGGATTGAATTCAGGCCCTTGTGCTTGCCAGGCAAGCACTTATTCTACTGAGCTATCTCCGCAGCCCCTTTCAGTCCATATTCAGCTAGCTCCTAGGCAGAGGGCACGAAGCAGAGAACCACCTTTCATGGTGGCAGCAAAGAGCTAGAGCACACAAAAGGAGAAGCAGCAACTCAAGCAGCTAACTTCTCTTCCCTCTTTACATTGAAATGTGAATTACCTGCCCCAGGGCAGGTGCAGCATCAATCACAAACTCCAGAAGCGATCCTAAGACTGCATGAAGCTTTGGAGGGACAACTGTACACAAACCATAACAGCCTCACTATGTAGCTTGGACTTGCAGTGATCCTCCTGTTTTCAGCCTCCCCAGTGCTGGGACTACAGGTGTGCTGCCACCACACTAGGTCTCGGTGGCCAGCTAAATGCAGGACCAGCACAGCATATGGTGCCAAGGATTGAACCCCGTCCCTGCGCTGGCCTAAGCAGGCGCTTAGTCAGCTAAGCTATCTCACCAGCCCCATTTTTGTCTTTTGAGGCAGGGTCTCATGTAGTTCACACTGGCCTTGAACTCACTATGTAGCCCAGACTGGCCACTCATGGTGATCCTTCTACCTGAGCTTCCTGAGTGATGGGGTTACAGTCACACACCATCATGCCTGGCTCTGTAAAATCATTATTTGTGAAAGGCTCTGAAAGATGAAACTTCTAATGACTGCATAAGCAGACCTAAATTATTAAACCCAAACTCTAAAAATGATCAGCTCTTTGCCATTATGTTTCCCTCTCAGATGTTGCAAATTATTTTTAATTGTAATTGAAAATGCAATTAAAAAATAGAATACTATTTCAACTAAATATTTTCATGGTCTCCTTTCCTTTGTCCAGAACATTTTGATTGGTTGGTCTTCGCAGCAAGCATCACTGGCTGACATGAATTTTCTGTATTTGTGGCCAGATTCACAAGAACCAAAAACACATGGGCTGGAGAGATGGCTCAGTGGTCTAAGCACCTACTTAGAACAAGCTTGGCAGGGACCGCGGTTCAATCCCCCAGCACTGCATGCCAGCCAGCCCCGCCCCCTGGTGGGCTGAGCTGGCCACACACACACACACACACACACAAAATAAATGTAAAAAAAAAAAAAAAAAGGAACCAGAAACACTTGGTTGTAGGTGAACTGCCATAAGCACCCCAGGACAGTCCTGATTGGAGGCAGAACAGGACACAGTGCCTAGAGTCCACTGTTGTATTAGCTTAGCTATCTACCAGCTCTGTGATCATTATCTAGTTACTTAATCTTTTTCTTTTCCC